TTTTGAGACTGGGTCTCTGTGTAGTCACAGTTGGCCTGGAGACCAGGCTGACCTCGAACTCACAGAGGTCCGCCTGCCTCTGCCTCTGCTGGGATTAAAGGCATGCACCACTATGCTAGCTAAAAATTTATTTTTTATTAACATAGTAATTATACTTATTCATGTGGTACAGTGCAATATTTCAGTACATTTATATTACCAGTCTTTTTGTTTTTTTATTTATTTTTTAATCGTTTTCGAGACAGGGTCTCCCTGAAGCCACAGCTATCCTGGAACTCACTATGTAGACCAGGCTGGCCTTGAACTCACCTGCCTCTGCCTCCTGAGTGTTGGGATTAAAGTTGTGCATCTTTAAAATAGGGTCTCACTCTGTAGCCCAGGTTGGCCTCAAACTCTTGGCAGTCCTCCTGCCTCAGCCTCCTGACTTTTGGGATTATTATAGACATAACTCAATGCAACCAGCTACAATTAACAATTTTTTTTGCCTTCTCTTACTAGGCTTTCAAGAGTTGCAGAAGAGACAATCAGGGATTACTTTGAATCTCGCCTTGCTCTCCTGGAACCTGTTTTCCCAATAGCATGTCATCGACTCTGTGAGGGTCCAGATTTCTCAACAGATTTCAATTACAAACCCCCTCAGAACATACCAGAAGGTAAGCCTATGCTCCCCTTCAAACTTAAATTTTTGAAGATACAGTCTATAAAGATGAACTCTGTTCTAGTTTGGTTTCTGTTGTGATAATAAATATGACCCAAAGCGCGGGCATGGTGGCACATGCCTTTAATCCTGCAGAGGCGGGCAGATCTCTGTTAGTTCAAGGCCAGCCTGGTCTACATAGTGAGTTCCAGGCTAGCTGGGGCTGCAGGGAGACCCTGTCTCAAAAAGACCAATAAATATAAATAAATAAATAAATAAATAAATAAATAAATAAATGCAAAGACCCAAAGCAACTTGAGGGAGGAAAGGGCTTATTTCATCTTACAATTTCCAGGTCACAGTCCATCACTGAGGGAAGTCGGGGCAGGAACTCAAAGCAACAACCTGAAGGTAGGAACTGGAACAGATACCACAGAAGAAGGCTTCTTACTCGCTTGTTTTCTGGCTCACTGAGCTTTCTTTTTTTTTTTTTTTTTTTTTTTTTTGAGACAGCGTCTCCCTGTAGCCCCAGCTGTCCTGGAACTCACTATGAAGACCAGGCTGGCCTTGAACTCACAGAGATTTGCCTGCCTCTCCCTCCCGAGTGCTGGAAATATATAAATTTTATGTACATGAGCGTATTGCCTGTGTTGCACATTGTCCGTGGAGGTCAGAAGATGGTGTTGGATCCCCTGGAACTGGAGTTATAGACAGTTAGCCACTATATGGGTGCTGGGAACTGAACCTGGGTTCTCTGCAAGAGCAACCAGTGCTCTTAACGGCTGAGCCATCTCTCCAGCCCTCAGCTATTTTTCTTATACAGCTCACCTGCAGTGGGATGGCATTGTCTACAGTGGGTTGGACCTTCCTGCATCAATTAACAATTGAGAAAATGCCCTAATGCTGGATGTGGTGGTACTGGCCTTTAATCCCAATACTCAGGAGGCAGAGGCAGGTGGATCTCTGTAAGTTCAAGGCCAGCCTGGTCTTCATAGTGAGTTCTAGGCCAGCCAGGACTGTGTAATGAGACCTTGTCTCAAAAAACCAAGGGAAGGAAAAAAAGAAAACACTGCAGAATTTCACATTGTCATGTCCACGGGCCAGTCTGATGGAAGAACGTTTTTCAGGTGTGTCAAATTGACTATAAAGATTAACCATCACAAGGTCACCCTTTCTCAACTTGACACACAAACATCATTGTTAAACTATAACCTTTCCTTTCTGTTTTATCTCCAAGTTCTCCTATATCATAACATAAAATATAGTACAACTTAAAAATTCCAATGGCTTGAAAGGTCAGTGTCTCTTTAAAATATCCCAAGTCTCTATAACTGTGGGCTCCTGTGAAATCAAAAGCAAGTTAAATACTTTCTTGCTCCAAGAGGGAAGAACTATGACATACAAAACAATCACCGTTAAGCAGAAGCAAAGTCTAGCAGTGTAGCTCCAAATCTTATAGCTCAGTGTTTGACATCTGAGACTTATGATCATCTGGGCTCCACAGAACTTGGGCAGCCCCAGCTTTACTATTCACACACATGCAAAGCTGTAGGCTCAGGCCTGCTCTACGCCACATCTGCCCTTGTCCTTGGTGGTCATCCCACCCTTGGTCTTGACATCTCCAATATGCTCTGGTCTTCCACTGCTTCTCAGGCTATACCTTCACCATTGAATTTTCCTGGCCTTTAACAGTGCCAAGTCTCAGTTGCCCTCCATGCCTTCAAAATCAGTACCCTGTGGGACCCTCTTACACATTACCAAGTTCGGCTACCAGCTTGAGATACAACCTTAGTCCCTTTAAACCAAAGCTTTTGTGTGCTGTCAGAGGAAATCCTTCCCAAATTTCACCTCAGTGATGCTGGTCTTTTATTAATCACAACTGATTCCTCAGCCCCAGGTGACCAAAAACCACAGATTCTTAATTCAAAATAGCACATGAACAGCCTGGATAGTCTTTGAGGGACTCTCAAACTTCTCTCTTAAACTTCACAAGCCAGGCTCCATTGTCTGCACCAGTTTCAGCGTTTTTATCTTCCACCCTCCCACAAAACGACACACTAAGCTCTGAGTACTTAGTGGCTTGTCCAGCTCAAAAGTTCCAAATGCTTCCATGGTATTCCAGAAAACAGCATAGTTTGGCTTACTTTCTGGCTCACTCACTTTTATGCATCTTGGGCCTACCTGTCTAGGGATGTTACTGCCCACAGTGGGCTGAGCCCTTCTATATTTTTTTAGCAGTTAAGAAAATGCTGCACAGACCAATCTGTTAGAGGAAATTCCTCAGTTGAGATTCTTTGCTCGTGGGTGGTGTGTTGACAACCAAGATTAGCTATCACACGCTCGTTCTTAAGTAAAACCCTTTCTTTGAAGAAAATCTTTAGTAGATGTGCTTGTGTATGATAATTATGTAAAATAGTGGAGCCTCTTTGGCAAAAAAGACTTCACCCCACTCATACCTGTCACTGCTAATCTTCTTTAAAATGTTAAAGGAGTTGGGTCTTAATAAGTGTATTTAGTTTTGAATGTATTAAAAGATGGCTTCAAGATTCTAATCCTAGAATCTTTCCCTAAATTTTGTTGCAGCCAATAGATTCCCACCCCCACCCCCTTTTTGTTTTTTTAAATAGTTTGCTCTATAGTTCCAGGCTAGTCTTGAACTCAGTCTTGTTACCCTGGACTTCTGAAGGCTGGGATTACAGACATGAATCATCTTACTCTTCTAAGAAGGAAGAACTCATGAGGCCCCACCCCTCCCTGTAGGGGCTAGTGGCAATTGATGCTGGGCCAGGTGGTCATACTGCCTCAGTAGTAGAGCCACTGGGCAGTTGCCCTCGCTCCCCAACCATGCAAGCAACCTAATTTATAAAACCAAATAAAAGAAATTAGGAGGGGAATCTGTTGGGAAGAAGGGATTTGGTGAGTAGTGAAAGGAATTAAAATAATTGGGGGAATATGTTCTAAGTATGTTGTGTGTGAAATTGTGGAAATTTTTTTTTAAATATGGGTTGACCTGAGTTCAATCACCAGAACCCATGTGGTAGAAGAAGGAAGCTACTTTTGAGGGTTATTCTCTGACCTCCACACGTGTAACACACACATATGCACACTAAAGTAGGTGTACAAAAGAAAAGGAAAGCAATGTTTCTCTATAGTCATTTAAGAAGAAATGAAAACTTCAGCCTGCTTCCCAGCTTCTACTTATGTTTCTGTTATGGAAGTTTGGCATGGCCTTCTTCCAGGACACAGAGACCAAATGTATAAGGTGCAGATAACGTTATCTCTGCCTGAAAGTTGGAAGTGGTGCTCTGGCTGTCTTTCTTAGCATCTCCATCCCCCATTTAAAAATGTGTGTTCAGAGCTGATGACATGGCTCTGTGGGTAAAAGCACCTGCCAGGAAACCTGACAACCTGGTTTGATCCCAAGACCCACATGGTGGAAGGAGAGAAATAAGAAAGTTGTCCTCTGGATGCCATATGTGACAGCAAACATACATGCACACACTTTGAATGTTTTTTAAAATGTGTTTTCAAGAGCCAGATGTGGTCATTGTAATCCTTTTCATTAAAGCACTTAGAACATTTTTTAAAATTTACAGGAGCTAGAAAGAGGGCTTAGCGGTTAAGAACACTGACTGTTCTTGCAGAAGACCCAGGTTCAATTCCCAGCGCCCACATGGCAGCTAACAACTGTCCATAACTCTTGTTCCAGGGGATCCAACAGCGTCTTCTGTCCTCCGTGGGCACTGCACGATGTGGGTGTACTTACCTACATGCAGGCAACACACTCATACACATAAAATACTAAAATATGAAAAGAAATTTGTGTGTATGTACAAACATGCATGTATTCCAATGGTATTCTTATGGAAGTCAAAGGACAACTTAATGGAAGTTGATTCTCTCCTACCATGTGGATCCCAGGGAACTCAAGCTGTCAGGCTTGATGGCAAGTGCCTTCACCTACAGAGCCATCTTATTTTTCATTTTTATACATTTTCTTTACATTTTATTTATTTGTTGGGGGCATGCTTGTGCCACAGTGCATGTGGAAATCAGAGGACACTTCAAGAGTTCTCTTCTTCGACCATTTGAGTCCTAGGGATTATACACAATGGTCAGGCATGGCAGCAGGAGCCCTAACTCACTGAACCCCTTCTCTCTGGCAATCCTAGCACTTAGGAGGATGAAGCAGGAGGTTCACAAGTCCAGTATAGAGTGTTTGCCTAGCATGCACAGAACCCTGGGTTTGATGCCCAGTATTTCATGAACTGGGTTTAGTGGTACAGTCCTCTAAGCCTAGCACTCCAGAGGTGGACTCAAAAGGTAGACACAAGAGAATCAAGTTTGAGGTCATCTTTGGATACATAGGGAATTTGAGGCTGGCCTGGGTTACATGAGACCGTGTTTCTCAAAAAAGTAATACATTATTAAAGAAAATACAACCATGTCAGTCCAAGAAAACTAGTTGCTGTCTTAGTGGTTTTAGCCTTTTGGCTGGTGGAAACTGGAATATTGTTAAGTTAATACATTCTTTTTTTTTTTTTTTTTTTTTTTTGTCTTTTTGAGACATGTTTTCTAGCTGGCCTGAAACTCACTATGTACATCAGGTTTGGCCTCAAACTCAGAGATCTGCCTGCTTCTGCCTCCCAAGTTCTGGGATTAAAGGTATGTACCACAATGCCCAGCTTCTAATTTTATTTTTATAGACAGGGTCTCTATGTAATGTGGCTTACCTTGAATTCCTGCCAGTCCACCTGCTTCAACCACCCATGAACTGTGCTTACAAGCCTGCTTACAAGACTGGCTCATAATTTGCAGTTTTGATTATTATTCACACAGACCATATGCATTTCAGACAGACCATTTGGGGATTTTACCACACTTAGACATGACTGGACCAGTTGGGCCTACAAAGTGGTTTTGCTTTTTCCTATATGTACAATATTTGAATCCACCAGAAATTTTGCTATTCTACTGAAACCTTTTTGGGCAAAGATGTTCTGTCATCCTGAAATGCAAGACCTCAGTAGGTTTTTCTTGATCCCTACTTGAGTGTGGTACTGTAGTCAGGTCCCAATAGCAGCCCCAAGGCCCAGCCTGGCCCACTCCCATTGTCACTCTTGTGATTTGTAAGTACATTCAAAGGAGCTAGGGATGCAGCTTAGTGGTAGAACACTTATGTAGCCTGTACAGCATCCTGAGTTTGAGTCCAAGCACCAAAAACAATAAAAAAAACCCAAAACTAATATATGTAGGCACAGTAAAAATTGATAACCACCAACTACCATAGCCTCTGGAGTGGCTTTTGATTCTTAAGAACTACAGGTATCAGCCAGGCGTGGTAGGACACACCTTTAACCCCAGCACTCAGGAGGCAGAGTCAGGTGAATCTTTGTGAGTTCGAGGCCAGCCTGGTCTACATAGTGAGTTCCAGTACAGCTGGGGCTATAGGGAGACCCTGTCTCAAAAAGACGAAAAACAAAAAAACAAAACAAAACAAAACTAGAGCGATGAAACTGCAGGTAGGATTCAGCAGTAGAGTGCTTGCCTAGCATGTGCAAATCCTGAATTTGGTCCCCAGCACCACAGAAAACAACAAAAAGCCCACTGTCTCCAAGTTAACATACAGTGCAGGTGAAAATAATTTATGTTGAAATGTCTTAGCAGATTGAGCAAGGGCCATGTCATTTGCCAGTGAAATTTCAGAGTAGTTCTAACTAATGAGCATACTTCTAAGATTTAACTAATTTTGTTGGCAGAAATAGAAGCCTAACTTTACAAGTCTTTTCTAACAGCAGTTCACTTGTAGCTCAGCAGTCTCTAGATGGGCTCTCTATTCTCTACCCTACCTTTAGCAGAAACAGGTCCCCCAGCTTGTATTGTTTTTGCTGCTTCCTGATGGAAATAGAACTGGGAGAAAACTTAATGCATTGTTAGGACTTTGGTCATCAGAGCTCTAGGTAGAGGAAGCTAAAGAGGAAACCTGGTTACAATCCCAGTAGTTTAAAAGGAGGCAGAAAGAGGCCCCAAATGGCCCCTTTTCTTCGACTGGAACAAATGTTTCTCTTGCAAGTTCTGCCTCTGTTGACAATTGACCTAGATCCACTTTTGGTTCTGCTTTGGGGTCGGCAGGGAGGGATTTCTGGTTTTTGTTTTTTAGGACATGATCATCCTGTAACCCTAGATGGCCTCACCATGTAGACCAGGCTGGCCTTCTCACAGAGATCTTCCTGCCTCTGCCTCCTGAGTGCTGAGATTAAAGGCATGCACCACCATGCCCAACTCACATTTGTTTCTTTTTTTAGAGAAGAGTGAGGCTCACTCATATCTGGCTGAATCGACATCTTTTTAATTAAAAAATTTTTATTACATTTATTCAATCATTATACACGCATATGTGTGGGCAGGTTGCAGAGGCGCCTCCTTCTGTGGAATCTGGGATCAGACTCGGGTTATTAGACTTCTACAGCAAATACATTTACCGGTTGAGTCATCTTGCTGGCCCCTTCCTTTTTTATTTTTTTATTGTGTGTATGTGTGCGCGCGCATGCACCCACTGGTGATCAAACTCAGGGTTTTGTGCATGTTACATTTTTGTTCTTTTAAACTGAAAATAGGGGTACTTGATGACTTGGGTTTGATTTCTGGAGCCTCCCCCCCCCCCCCGCCCCGAATAAGGCAAGAACCAACTCCCAGGAGTTATTTTCTGACCTCTACACACAAAGTAATTTTTTTTAAAAAACACATTAAAAAAAAAAACCTATAAAAAGGTATCCATAAAAGCCTTTTCCAGAAGCTATGAGTAGGGTTAGTTGGACAAACACTAGAGTTCTGTGGTTTGAAAACTAAGAAATACAAATGTTAAGACTGGAGAGCTCTCAAGCCTTCAGTACAAGTGGCAGGTGGGATACACTAGGGACTATCTCCTCTTTTGCAGGGATGACAGAAGCCCTACGCCTTGTGACGTTAATCTTCTATTCTGCTTTCTTCAGGCTCTGGTATCCTGCTCTTTATTTTCCACGCAAACTTTCTGGGTAAAGAAGTTATTGCTCGGCTCTGCGGACCGTGCAGTGTACAAGCCGTAGTTTTAAATGATAAATTTCAACTTCCTGTCTTTTTGGTAAGATTTTCTGTAGTTCATTGAAGATTCTAATCAGAAGCCATGATGATTTAAAATTTTTTTTGAGACAAGATCTTCAGAATTTTTTTTTTTTTTTTTTTTTTGATCTTTTTGAGAAAGGGTCTCCCTGTAGCCCCAGCTGTCCTGAAACTATGTAGACCAGGCTGGCCTTGAACTCACAGATTCATCTGCCTCTGCCTCCCGAGTGCTGGGATTAAAGGTGTGCACCACCGCACCCAGCTTATTTTTAAAAATTATTTTTATGTGTATGAATGTATTACCTGCATGTAGCCCACTGAGGTCAGAAGAGAGCGTCACATTCCCTAAGACCTGGAATTATGGACAGTTGTTAGCTGTCACGTGGGTGCTGGGACTCAAACCTGTGTCCTCTGAGAGAGCAGCCACTGAGCCATCTCCAGCCCCAGGATTTTGAGAATTTTTTAAATAGCATTTGCTTATTTATATGTGTGTGTGTAGTGTATGTATATAGTTATATAGGTATGTAGGTGCTTGCTCCTCTTGATATGAGTGTAGAAGTCTGAGGACAACTTGGAGTCATTTCTGCTCTTCCATCATGTGGGTCTCAGGGAACAAATTGGGTCATCAGACTTAACAGCAAGCACCTTTGCCCATTCAGTGGCCCCAAACAAAGTCTTGTTACATAGTCCAGACGGACCTTGAACATTTTAAAAACCTCCTGACTCTTCTTCCTGAGTTCTGAAACTATAGGCATTCACCACCACATCCAGCATAATTTAAATTTTTTGTTTAAGGGCTGTGGAGATGTCTCAGTGCTTGTGGGTGCTACACAAGTGTGAGGACCTGAGTTCAGATCCCCAGAAAATACTCGAAAATGCTTGGTGGACATAGCAGCCCACCTGTAATTCCAGTTTGGGAAGGTGGATTACCAGAGCAAGCTGACTAACAAGACTAGCTCAGAAAGCTCAGGGTTTTGGAACACACCTTTAATCCCAGCACTCAGGAGGCAGAGGCAGGTGGGTCTTTGAGTTCGAGGCCAGCCTGAGAGATCAGTTTGTGAGACCCTGTCTTAATACGGTGAAAGAGCAATCAACAATGATCAACCTTGGGCCCTCCACATGCACATACACCCACACATAGTTGTGTCACCACACATAAAAACATTCATAGGCACACCTGCACACACAAAAAACAGAACAAGGAAAAAATGTTTAAGTAAAATGTGTTTATTCAGTAAGTGATCCCCTATTGATGAAATTGAGATAGTAACTCATTCTCATAAAAGAAAATTATCTGAGCTGTGTGTGGTAGCGCATGCCTTTGATCCCAGCATTCAGGAGGCAGAGGCAGGCATCTTTGTAAGACAGAAGCCAGCCTGGTCTACATAGGGAGTTCCAGGCCAGCTGTGGATGTTTAAAAAACTTCAGTGTTCATTTCTTTGCTTTAAACTATGTTACCATAATGTTTTCAAACTGACATTATTCTGAGTATAAGTGCTTAGAGACAAGAAACACAACTTGATTTTATACATGAGGTCTTTTTCCCAGGCAATAATAATTACAAAGACTATACATATGTTGTGCATATGGTTATTATTTTTATTTTATGTATATGCGTGTATGACCTGCGTGTAGTAAGTGCACCCGTGTCATGCAGTGGCCGAAGAGGTCAGAAGAGGCTGTCGGATCCCCTGGGACTGGAGTTACGGACAGTTGTTAGCTGCCATGTGGGTGCTGGGATTCGAACCTGGGTCTTCTGCAAGAATAGTCAGTGTTCTTAACAGCTGAGCCTTCTCTCTAGCCCCTTGTGCATATGTTTTAATGCACAGTAGTGATTATATACATTGTTTTAATTGCTTAAGAAATGCTTTCAAAGGATTTGTTTGGTTGAAACAATGCTAGCATGGAACTTGCTATAAAATGAAAGATGACCTTAAATTCCTGAGGCTCCTGCCCAATTCTCGAGTGCTGGGATTACAGGCGTGCACAACTACTCACTGCTGATGTGTAACACTTTTTATATATTCTTTTTGTCACTTTTAAATTTTGTTCCTTGTGATTCTCTTTGACAGTGCTGGCCTCTTAGTTGTTTCTTGGTCTCTACTGTAAAAGACTGTAAGGTTGGTAGATGTGGGATTATCTAAAGAATGCTGACTTTATTTTTCTTACCTCTTTATACTCTAGGATAGTCATTTTGTGTACTCATTCAGCCCTGTTGCAGGCCCCAACAAGCTGTTTATAAGGTTGACAGAAGCACCCTTTGCCAAGGTAAAAAAAAAAATTTTGCTTCACATTTAGGATTACTGCTCAAATTGCTATTTCTGATGTCACAGGAAAAATTTGCCAGTGTATACCCTTGGTATCTGGAAATGTCAGTACACATGGTAGAGACCACTCTTCCCTAAGGCAGTGACACTGGGTACACTGATATATCTGAGTCTTGTCTTAGACATTGAGACTGGGCCTTGCCATGTAGTCCTCAGTCCTGAGGCAGGTGTGTGTTAACCACACCCACTGAACAGTCAGAATCCTGTTGAGGGCTTGGCTGTTGAATTGCTACATGTCTAGGCTCATCTAGGCACACTAATCTCTCCATGTGAGAGGAAGTGGGGTTATAATTCTCTGATGACTGAGTTTACAGACATGGGTATATTTTTACTAAAATAGTGATAACCTAATGTTCTTACAAAGTGAGAGTTACAGCTATGTAGTGACACGATTTCCCCTTTCTAGGTGAAGTTGCTAATAAGTGCTTACAGAGTACAGCTGCACTGACCAAAGGATTGAGACCAGACCTGTTTTCAGATGGACTCCTAAGTATCCTCTTTGAAGCAGTTTGGGATTCTGGCACACTTAAAATGTTCAAATGTTCATCTATAGAACTTGGAGTTTAAGCCTGTCACCTGTTAGTCTGTAAGGTAGAACAGAGGCTCTACCTTCATATTCTATGTGTAAGTATTTGTGCAACAGTTCAAAATGTCAGTGTTGTATCCAGACTGCATATTTTATTTCCACAATGTGGAATGGTACATATGAGGACTATTTAAGAAAATTAAAGGCTTTTGAACTTGAAATTTTCTACTAGCACTTGTGAATTTGTGTTTTAAATGTGGGAAAGGGAGGCTGGAGAGATGACTCAGGGGTTAAGAGCATGGGCTGTTAGAGGACCCAGGTTTGGTTCTTAGCATGCAAATGGTGACTAGTAACCATCTATAACTCCAGTCCCAGGGGATCTGACAGCCTCTTCTGTCCTCTGCAGGCGCTGCACGACACCGGTCCACTTACCTACATGCAGGCAATACATGTACACACATAAAACAAAGATAATAATAATAAAGATTCAAACTGGGCATGGTAGTTCCTGCCTGTAATCCTTGTACTTGGAGGCTAAAGACTGCTGTGAATTTGAGGACAAAAACAAAAAAAACTCATGGGAAAACATGATGAATACTTAATGAATACTTATGTCATTGCATGACACGTGTGTACTTACCTACATGCAGGCAATATACACATACATGTAAAAAATAAAAAATATTTTGAAAAAAATGTAATAATAATCTAGGATTAGCAAAAATTTAAGCCAGGACATTGAGTAGGTCTAAAAGTCAAATTATTTTTAATTGTAAAAATTATAATTTTAATGAAAATGTCAATGTATACTGAAATTGTACATACATTTCAGAAAACCTCCTTTCCTGCCAAAACTGTCTTTTTCTACAGTTTTCTCAAGGTACAATAATGTCTGTTTTTCTTTCTATCTCTTAAATCCCAGGAGTTCACAGTGACTTTTTTTTTTGATTGTTGAAATTAACCTTTATCAACTAAACTGAATTGAGTATTGGACGTTCATAGCTTTACAATTCTTAAACTTTTGTTAGCTCAGAATCATGCCTTAACAGGGAAATGTTAGGTATTTGTCAAGAAGGCTGGCTTAAGAAACAGACATAGTTTCTTTAGAATTTAAGGCTGGGGATTGTGGAAGCTGAGGAAAGTCAGTGAGCATGAAACTCTTTAGGTCAGACTGCTATTTGAGGAAGTGAGCAAGGCATTTGAAAGATGAAAATTTGAGGCTATCACAGATTTTTCTAGATTTGTAAATTTTGCAAACAGCTGCACTAGGAAAGTAATGCAGACCCACACAATTTCATGCAGGTTTGTTTTTTTTGTTTTTTTGTTTTTTTTTTTTTTGCCATAACCTGTAGCTTCTTGGTATCTGAGCCAAAAGCCTACTTCTATTTGTGGGCAATAAAAATAAAATATTTTAAGAATGAAGAGGACTTGAGTCAACTGATCTCTTGCTGATGGCCCTGCTGAGGCCAGAATCCTGTTTAAACATTTAAATTCAGCTTTAAATACATGCGCAATGATTCCTATGGAAAATAAAGCAACATCTTTGAGGGCTTATTGATCTGCTCATATCCACAGATTAAAGCATAGCGGTGTCCATGCCTCGTTTGAACGTGCAGACAGTATGCAGGTGTACCTAGAACTAAACAGATCACCACAAACTGGATGAACTGCATTTTGGCCATATTGCACTAAGCAACTGTCAGGACTTTCAACTTTTAAAAATCTGTTTTGTCTGCATGTATTTATGTGCGCCTGTGTCATGTAATACATGCAGAGGCAAGAAGAAAACACCAAATCCTCTGGAAATGGAGTTATGGATGGTGCTGGGAACCAAAACCAGGTCCTCTGCAAGAGTAGCTAGTTTCCTTAATCTTGGAATCATCTCTCCAGACCCATAATCTTTCAATTTCTAAAGATCTGTCTTTGGTTTTTATTTGTGTATGTGCAAATATGTTTGGCAACGAGTGTGTGCAGATGCACAAAGGCAAGAGGTCAGCCTCAGGTGACTTTCCTCAGGAGTCATCTACCATGTTCGAGTCTGTTACTGGGACCCTAGAGGCTCTCCAATTCCATAGGCTGGATGGCCAGCAAGCTCCAGGGATCCTCATGTGCCCACCTTTCCAACATTACACATCTTTTTAGGTGGACACTGGGGCTTGAACTCAGGTCCTCAATGCTTATGTGGCAAGCACTTTACCAGGAGAGCCAACTCCCTAACTAAGCTGGCCCTAAACTCCCAAGTGCTGGGATTACATGTGTGTCACCATGCCTGGCTTCCATCTTCACTCTTGAATTGGAAGAATGATTTAATACACCGATCAGGTTCTTCATCATTTGAGTTCAAGTAGTGCTTTTTGGGTTCTTTACATGGTGTTTTTAAGACATGTCTTTCAGAAAGCTGGCAAGCTTTAGCTTCCAGAACAGAGGGCCAATGGGGCATTTAAGTGATTTAGCATGTAACTGGTGGGGGGAGAAGAACGGGTAGGCAAGATGGTTCAGCAAAGAGTGTCAGTAGTAGGTTCTCTAGGGTTTATGTATTGGTGCCAAATCTTTAAAAGTAAATTCAGATAAAGGCCCACAGATGGATTTCCACACTGCTTGAGGTACTGTTAATGTTTCTCATAGGCAAAAGTGACTTAGGAGAGAGAAGGCTCAGTGGTTAAGAGCACTGGCTGCTCTTGCATAGGACTGGGGTTCGATTCCCAGCACCTACATGGCAGCTAACAACTGCTTGTAACTCCAGTTCCAGGGGAAATCCAAAGCTGCCTTCTGATCTCCATGGGGATTGCACAATATGGGTATATTTACATACATGCACGCAATAGAGTAATATTAAGAAAAAAATTAAAAATATAAAAATGTGATTTAAAATCAGGGAATTATGTGTTTCTTGGCACCCTTAGCATCCACAGAAAATCTAAGTCAGGTCAATTTGGAAGAAATAACTCTATATATTTCTCCCTTTGCTTATTGCCTTTGGCTTGCTTGAGTAAAATCTTAAAATTCCTTCCTCCCTTTACATTAAACTCAGGATCTCACACAAGCTAAGTGATTGCTGTACCACTGAGATAAATCCCAAGTTAACTGAAATTTCCTGTACCAAAATGTCAGGATGGGAAGGTGGGAATCCTCCAGTTCTGTCACAGTTAAAAGGGCAGATTGTTATTTTGAGTTTGTAAGCTCCTAACATAATACTTTATGCCATTAATCTCACACCCCACACCAAGTAGGCAACGTCTATCTGCCCCCCCCCAAAAAAAGCCTCATTAAAAATGGGAATTTAACCTGGGTGTGGTGGTGCATGCCTTTAATCCCAGCACTGAGGAGGCAGAGGCAGGCAGATCTCTATGAGTTCAAGGATATAGTGAATTCCAGCACAGCTGGGGCTATAGGGAGACCCTGTCTCAAAAAGACCAAAAGAAAAAGGAAAAAAAAAAAAACCACAAAAAAACGGGAACCTGGGGCTGGAGAGCTGGCTTAGCGGCTAAGAGCGGAGACTGGATCGAATTCCAGCAACCACATGCTAATAACCATCTGTACTCCAGTTCCACATACCTACCATATGCAAGGCAGGGTTCCAACCCAACACCACACAAAATTTTTAAGGATGAAACTACCATAGAAATAATTCTCCTTTTCACTGTTACCCACCCCTTCTTTTTCTTTTTTCTTATTCTGAGACAAGGTTTTGCCATATATTATAGTCTGGCCTTGAACTCAGCAGTAACTCCCTCAGCCACCTAAGTGCTGCCAAAAGAAGAGCAGAGAGGATACCACCACAACCAAAGGAATGGCCATTACCTAACTAATAAAAGCAGGTTTTACTATAGTGCTTATTACATTTATTGTATTTATTGTATTAAAAACATATTTTGCATTTGAGTAATTTAACTTAGTTTACATATCTTCCTAGAATGAATCTTATTTTTTCCATTGATTTTCTAAGAAAAATCTATATAACAAAGCAGTTAGAGTAAATCATGACATATATTTAAGCTTCTAAAAATCTACGTGCTGTTCCTCTTTTGAGGTCACAGAATGTCACTTAATCTCTGGCACACACAGCCAACGTACATTAGAGATTTATACCTTTAGACTGTGCTACAAAAGGAGGTACCTACATATATAGCAATTTTAAAGTTTAATCACAACAGAATGTTCACAGAATGCATAAATTATAAGCATATTTCAAAGAATTCTAATTCTTTTTTAGTTTTATTATGTTTTATGTGTATGAGTGTTTTGCCTGCATATAAGTGTATCAGGATCCCCTGGAACTGGAATTATGGATGGTTGTTAGCTGAAATGTGGGTGCTGGGAACTAAACTTGGGTCCCTCTGCAAAAGCAGAGAGTATTCTTAACTACTGAGCCATCTGTTCAGCCTCCAGTTCTAATTTTTTTTTTTTTTTTTTTTTATTGGTGGTCTTTTTCAGACAGCCTCTCCCTGTAGCTCCAGCTGGCCTGGAACTCACTATGTAGACCAGACTAGCCTTGAACTCAGCGTTCCTCCTGCCTCTGCCTCCTGAGTGCTGGGACTAAAAACATACACCACCATACCTGGCCCAGTTCTAAATTTTTTACGAATGGCCTAGTACAAGGTTCACTAGCACAAACACCATCACCCAAAGGGCTTTAAAATGCAATCATGAGCCCTACTACAGTGTGGTCTGTTCAGTACATCAGGGTTGAGCCTGGGAATTGTGCATGCTTAACAGACCCCCAGATGACAACACTGGTCTCTGGGCCAGGAGTGAGAACTGAATCCCATGGTAGCCTTTGAAGAACTGAATAAGAGTATGCCAGCAGTTGACAGGTGAGTCAGATACCTTAAAACAGGTATGGACAACACCATGCTGCTCAATCCACTGCATCACAGGTCTTCCGAGATCTTTTAAAATCGATTCTGATCCAGTATGTCCTTGTGTGTCCTGCTTACAGATGATTGTGCTTCCCAGGTCTTAGGCAACATTATGACTGCAGGTCCTCAGCACCATGCTTGAAACAGCAAGGACAGGGATGGAATGATTGTCATCACTGCAAGGGTGCCTAGGACAGAAATAGCATTTTCTGAATCTGTAAGAATAACAGTATACCTATCAGAAATTTGCCACGACATTAATGTAAATGGTTCTATAAAATTTTAGATTGTTGGCATAACAAAAGAATAGAAAATTTGTGACCCCTTTCCAAAAGAAAGCAGAGGGAGAAATGGAGCCAGTG